CGCAGTAAGGGGAAGGCTTTAGTACAGCCAACGCTCGAACCACTTGAGCTACGAGGCTCCGCCAGACGACGCGAGTTCATCGCATTTGGGTCAAGTTACCCGTCCAACCTACTGTAACGTCTGGAATCCACCAAATCTGACACGGTAAATTGACTGCCCAGGCAGGATTTCCTAAGTAATTCACCTAGAATCCACCAGATGACTACCAGGCTTATATAATTTATAGATGTTTTGACAGATTTTGAATAATTCATATTAGGCCTGGTAGCTCAAGTGGTTACAGCGTTGACTGTACCAAAGCCTTCCCCTTACTGCGTGGGTTCGAATCCCACCAAGGCGCTGAGTTTTTCACAGTTGGGTCAATCTGAATTATTCGAAATCTGCCAAAACATCTAAGAAATGGCAAATAGCAAAACAGAGCGTTCAAATAAATAAAATGGGCAGAGAACAGCGGAGCCGAGGATTCGGATAAAAAAGTGAGGCCTAAGCTCATTTGAGGGTAACAATCGGGAGATGGCACCCAAAAAACTGCCTAAACAAAGCAGCCTGTCTTACGGGACAGGTAGTAATAAGGGTTTTATGAGTGGTAGCTGGTCGGGATGTACGATACTGGCCGACGGAAAGCCCTATTTGAACAGGTGTATGATCGAAGTTGACCCGCTCTCTGTTACGTTATTAAAAATGGGTCGCCAAAGGCAGTCTAGGGGTAACGGACAAGTGGAAGGTGTATAATCGTCTTCCCTCAGAAGGTTATCTGCATTTCTCTGTTAACCACTCAAAGAACTGCAAAGACCCTACCACCGGACGGCAAACCAATGCCATTGAGGCATACTGGAGTAGACTGAAAAGGAAACTCCCCGAGGGAGGCCCTGTATGTGGTCAAGCTGTGTGGGCTCACACAGACAAAGTACAGTATCGTCTTTGGTTTGGCCTCTATGCCGTGTCTTTGACAGATGCCTGGGAACTGTTCCTGTCCCATGTTGTGCAGACTTATCCTATTTAAAAGTGATTTTGTTTAGTAATAAACTGCCATAATGCGAATGTATGCCGTATATTCAGGTGTACGTGTGTAACGATGGGGAAGGTTGGGTAACAGCGACCATCGTCCATGTAACCTCCTGCGATGTTCGTTCGGCCAGCCCATGTTAGGCCGTCGCGGAAAGTCCAAGTAGTGCGTGAAAGTAGGCCTGCAACCGCTGATATAGCCTGCAGGCGTTTGAGTCCAGTATTAAAGGTATTATTTCTAGGTGGCGGATTTCTTGGGTGCCATCTTCCGATTGTTACCCATTTGAGATTTCCTAATTTTCCTAATGAACGTCAGGCGAAGCCGCACTTCCCAGTACTGTAAATGTTGAAAAAGGTACAGTAGTTCGGGAATGTCGTGTGACTTAATAAATACTATGCTAAGCAAAACTTTGGAAAGAATACACTGAGCAGCTGACTTTTGCAAGACCCAGTCCTTCCCTTCGATCCACGTTAAAGAGTCACATGGAAGTGTCGGTTAAAAACGATAA